TGCCCCATCACTTAGGTGAGGCGAGATGGCTGCTGGGGGGGACACCCTTCTCGCATGTAGGCTAAGGCTCTGGGGAGTCTCCTCCCCTGCGTAGGAGGCTTTGGTGATGGGAGAGTGTCCCAACTGTCGCTGCCCCCTCCCCCCGGCCCCCTCGCCAGAGCCTGCAGGGGATCTTTCTCCCATCTTCACATGGGTACCTGGTAGGTAAAACCTACCAGGACGTGGGGCCCGTCTGAGAACCGTGGCCCGAGGAGTTTCTTACTCACGCTCGGCTCCTGGCTTACGGCAGTTCATCAAAACGACCATGTGCACATCGCTGCTGGGCTGTGGCTCCAGCAGCCCCCCTCGGGGCAGGCAGATCCTGGCCGGGGGTCTGTTCACTCGTCTGTCCAGGTTCTAGGGTTGGTTTGCCAGCTCGTTCTCCCCACTTCAGCTCCCTGGTGGGTCCAAGAAGGGTCCTTGTAAGGACGGGAGTGAGGACTCGTGGCTCCTTGCATGAGAGCTGTCTCTGGAAGGCTGGGCCACTGTGGGGGTGGCCACTTGATCCCCTCAACCTGGTCAGTTGCGTACTGGCTCTCCGGCGTTTGAAGCAGCGGGGCCGCGGTGGAACGGGCCATGTGGCTGCGAGGCGTGCGTGTCCGGGTGCTGCTGTGTCCCTTAACGCGGGCGTTTGCATGGAGCACAGCGAGCTTGGCTTCGAGCCCCGCCCTTTCTGCGTGTGCTCTGTTTATCACGTTTGTAAATAGATATTATGTGTGTTTCATAAATAAGACTTGAAGTTTCCCTTTCTTCTGTAATCCAGAGCTATGCTGTCTAGTAATGCAGTCATATACCACATGTGACTGTTTGTAATTAAAATTAAGTAAAACAGAAAATTCAGTTGTTTAGTCACACTGGCCACATGTCAAGAGCAGGTTTTGCTAGTGCAAATATAGAAAGTTTCTGTCATCACAGAAAATTGTGTTGGACGGTGCGGGTCTAGAGTCAGCAGTGTCCCGTGTCTGCGGAGGCGTTATGTAATCTGTGAGGCCCGTCCAGAGGCCACCAGCCACAGGTGGCTTCTGGGCAGGTGCGCGCGCGCGCGCGTGTGTGTGTGGTATGCGTGTGACGTAGTGTGGTGTTTGAATTGTTGGTCTTTTTCTGGCTTATTCATAACAGCTTTTTATGCAGCAGGCAAATTAGCCCAGCAGCTCTCCTAGGAGCTGCAGATAGTTTTCCCTGCTCGTCACTGCCTTTTTCTGTGGCGCATGGTGACGTGTGGTTATTTAAAATGTTGCTGGAGTGTTCTGAGAGCTTCCATTGTTTTTCTCTTCTCAAGCTTAGATTAAGAGTTAAAGTTAGGAGTTCACAATGCGAAGTAACCGTGGTAATTCTAAGTACGTCGAAATCAAAATAAAAGACAAGGCTGTAGCCATTGCCTCGGCTGCCACCACTGAGATTTTGACGTTCTCCGCATCTTCCTGACGACGCTGGTGGACGGTTCAAAGCCGCTGACGGCTCCGGAGCCTGGCGTGCCGGGCTGTCGGCCCCTCCTGCGTCTGCCATCTGCCTCTGGGGACCCACGCCGGGCAGAGCGGTGGCTCGCAGGTGAGGACGCAGAGCGCGGCAGGTGCCCGTGCCGCCCAGCCCTTGCCGGCGGGGCTGGTGCGTGGGCGCGGTGCCTTCCATGTCGCGAGCATCTCGGGGTGCAGACTGCTTCCGTGTTGGTGTGCGTTCGGCGTGGGTCTCTCGGGTAAAGTAGACCCGACGTGACGTTTAGCGTTTGCCGTGTGTAAGTGCGATCCGCTGCCGTCACGTCTCTTCCCAGCGCTGTGAGGCAGCGCCGCCTCTGCCCAGAGTGCGTTGTCCTGCCGCCCGCCCGCTCACTGCGGTGGCCTCGCGGGGTCTCCCGTCATCGCTGGCCGGCGGTCCTCTCTGGAGCATGCTGATCGCGACTCCCTCGTGCACGCTGCTGTTACAAACTTCTCTGTGTACAGAGCACTTTTGCTGTTTAGAATCACATTTTTTTAGGACTGACATCCAGAAATAGAACTGCACATTTTGAAGGAGTATTTTTAACATTTTCCCAGGCACGTTCACATTTGGATAGTTTCTGTGTTATTCTGCAAGACCATGAGAGCAAATTCGGAGTGTTTAGGACATAGATAAGGTATGTGCCTCTGCGACACTGATGGCCCCACATGTGCAAAGCCAGTGCGGCCCACGCTGCGGGCTGAGAGTATTTCCCTGAGATCTGGTTTGTGTGTTTATCCTTTATTCTTACTGTAGTGGCTTTAAAAGTAACTCTGCCTTAACCAAACACGGCGGTAGCTCCGAGGAGACTGGCATCTGCGTGGCCTGTGGGCCTGGCCCAGACCTGCACCCGGGGTGGAGCCGCCGTGTCCTGTCAACCACGAGACCCCAGGAGCCCGTGGGCTTGCAGCCAGCCACGCAAGCCGGGCCAGGGCCCCCGTCAAAGGGCGTTGTGGCAGGGCAGGTCTGAGTTCAAGAAACTTCTGGGACATGTGCGTTCAACAAAATCAGTCTGCGTTTGGTCTTGGCAGAGGAGTGTGCCTGTGTGTGCAAGTGTGTGCGTGCATGTGCATGTGTGTGTGCATGGTGAGTGCGTGCTGTGCACACTTGTGTGTGCGCCATGTGTGTGCGTGTGGCATGTGCACATGTGGCACATGTGTGTGCGACACGTGCAAGTTTGCGTGTGCGATGTATGTGTGTGCGTGCATGCGCGTGTGTGCACACGCGTGCATGTGCGACATGTACGTGTGGCATGTGTGCACGTGTGTGCTTGTGCGACATGCATGTGTGGCATGTGTGCATGTGAGTGCATGTGTGCACATGTGGCATGTGTGCGTGTGAGTGCATGTGTGCACGTGCGTGCTTGTGCGACGTGCATGTGTGGCATGTGTGCGTGTGCGCGCGTGCTTGCACACTGCCGTGCCCGAGTGTTTCCAGGTCTGTCTCTAGAAGTCGGGAGCCTGAGCGGCAGCACTCGCGTGCTCTGCTCGCCTCTGCTGCTGCCTCCCCCTCCTCCGTGGGGGGCGTGTGCAGGCGTGTTCACGCCGGCTCGCTGTGGGTGGCTGGAGGGCACCCGCCCCTTCCCCAGGGACGAAGGACTTCTGGCAGCCCCGATTCACCTCATCGAGGACATTAGTTTGTGTTACACTTCGTACATTCTGCGATACAAGATTTGAGGCAAGTGTCAGGCTATGGATTCAGTCGTGGTCTTCGGAAATGACGTTTTCCAGCTTCGTGGGAGAGCGCGAGGAGGTTAAGCGAGGGTTGCGCGTTGGGTGGGAGTATGTTTATGTGCAGAGCTTCAGGCTCAGGTCGGCACCGGAGGCACGCGGAGTTGTGGGTCGTGTGCTCGCCTTTTCGCTGCCAGGGTCCTGCCCCCTGGTGTGCGTGTGTGGAGTCTTGGCACGTGCAGTGACGCCGGGCCCTACGGCACACCTGAGGTTTCCTGTCGGTCCGGTACAGGCTGTGGGACTTCGCCTCCTTAGCCTTGGGCTTGAAACTTTCCTTGTTTTCGTATCTTAGTGAAGCCGGAATCCCACACAGTAACGCGCGTGGCATGTGCCCTCGGACGTGCAGAGCCACCGGTGGCTGGGCGCCGTCGCTGGGCTCCCGGCATCCCTGGCTCGGGGGCGATGAGGCCGGCGAGATCGGTGTGGAAGGGAGCGCACAGTGCCGTGGTCTGTGGCGTCGTTACAGGGCTATGCAGCTGTCGCCACAGCAGCTCTAGAACATTTTCATCGTCCCCAGAACAGACCTGGGCCCGTAAGAGGCCACTCCCACCCCCCACGCCACCCCTGGCAACAGCCCACCCGTCCCAGTGTGTCTGGCCGTGCCAGACATTCCGCCAAACGTTGCCGTGTGCCACATGCCCCTGTGCGTCTCTGGCCAGTCCGCAGCACGTCTTTGGGGCTCGTGCTGCAGCCCGTGGCAGCGCCCCCTCCGCATGGCCATGTGGTGTCCTGTGTGTGGACGGCCCCCTTTGGTTCACCTGTCCATGCGCCAGGCGACGGGCATGGGTGTTCCTGCCTTTGGCACATCATGACCAGTGCACTGGGTGCCATGTGGATACAGGTGTTCACTTCTCTGGGGCACAGACGTGTGAGCAGCCACTCCACCCGCATGCAGCATCCGAGGACCAGCCGGAGTGGACAGCAGCTGGAGCGTTGCCCTCCCACCTGCGGTGGCCGTGGGTCCGACCTCCCTGTGACTTAGGCCAGCCCGCCAGGTGTGCCTCGGAAGCTGTGCTTGGACCCGCGTGTCCCTGAGGCCTGATGTGCCAGCGTCTCTCCACGTGCTCGCGGTCCTGAGCCCGGCTCTGACGGTGTTGTCTCTTCCTGGTGCTCTCCTCTCTGCTCACCTGTGGGGTGACGGCGGGTGGCGGGGAACAATGCAGGGCTCTCCTTGGGTATGCGGGAAACAGGGCCTTGGGGGCCAAGTGGGGCTGCACTGGGCCCCGCCACCATCCCTCCCTGTTGGCTGGTCCCCCGGTGTCCTCAGCCCTACCCCGTCCTTCCAGGACGCTCAGCAACGTCAGCAGGCAGAAGGCACGAGTGCCCACCTGTGTGGCCGGCCTGGTGCCAGTGCTGCAGTTTGGTTGTGGGTGACACATGGGGTCCAGCTGTGTCCCCGAGCTCTGCTGGGTCGGGGGCCTTCATTGGCAGGGCTGGTGGGCTGGTTCCGCGTCCTGGGAAGAACACGCGTGACAGGCCCGTCACTTTCCCGTTTGAAAGCGTGTGGGTCCGTAGTGGTGGCCGGGGCCCGTGGTCATGTCACAGCCTCAGGACGTCTTCGTCGTGCACAGCAGCAGCCGTGCCCACGAGCGCTGCACAGCGGCACCAGGGCCGCGGCCTCCTCAGTGCCGTGTCCCCCAGCTCCAGGGCCCCCTGCTGTGGCAGCCCCGCTGTGGCCCCAGGGATGGGACAGGGCTGTGGGAAGGGCGCGGGCGCCAGGCGAGATTTGTCTCTAGGGTGTCCCCGTCCCATGCGTGGACCCTGGTCCCCACAATGTGGCCGGCAAGTGGGTCTCCTTCACAGCAGCTTCAGCTCGTCGCTGTCTGGGGCCACGTCGACGGTCTGACTGTTTTCTTTTTTCTCCTTAATTTACAGCCGGAAAACCTACAGAAGAACTGGCTTCGGGAATTTTATCAGGTGAGAAACGCTCGGGGTCACGTGCTCCGCGGATGGGCTGCTCCCGCGGGAAGAAGCTGGTCCTCACGGACGTGGCCTTTGTCCGTGCCGCCTGCAGCCTTGCACGGTCCGGGGCTGACTGGGCGGCGTCACGTTTCAGTCCCTCAGGCCCCTGCAGCTGCCCCCACCCCCGGCCGGGTCCAGGGGACCGGGCAGCGGAATGGGCATTACTAGAGGCGGGGCCAGCAGGGCGCCTGCCGAGAGCTGCCATGGCCGCAGCGTGACGGTGGCGAGGCCCTGCGGGGAACCGAGGCCCCGCGGGCTCTGGGTGGAGGCTGGGGCGCAGCCGTGATGAGGCGGGCAGCGGGCAGCGGGCAGCAGCGGGCACAACCGTGTGGCAGTGAGGACGAGCGAGGCGGCTCCTGGGTCCTTGGTCGCGTGCGTACAGAGCTGTGCGTGCCACTCCCCCGCCTAGTGTTGGGGAGGTCGCTGAGGAGGGGACGCACGGGCTGAGACCTGGTGGTCGGCCAGGGCAGCGGGGTGACCGGGCTGCCAGGACTGAGAGTGACCACAGCCCAGAGGGCTGCCTGAGCACACACGGTGAGACTACGCTGGCACCGCCAGCTCCTGCAGCGGCCTGGTGACCTCGGCACTGAGGGGCAGCCGGTGCCAGCCATCCCTGCCCCAGCCGGTGTGCAGGCCCGATGGCAGGGTGCTGGCGGGTCCTGTCCTGCTGAGGTGACAGCAGGGACTCAGAGGGACCCAGTGGGCCTTGCCGTCCAGCGAGGTCTGTCCCCCGGGCCGTTTGGAGGTGGCGGTCCTCGCTCGCCTGTCTGACTTGCATCGTCTGCCAGGCCCGTGCTTGGTTCTTGGCGGGGACGGAAGGCGGGGCCCCCGGGCAGCAGTCAAGGCCCAGAAGGACGGGGTCGCGGGAAAGCTCCGGGAGCCGCAGCCGGGAGCCGCCAGAGCACACAGTTCCTGGGCGTACGCGCTCTCCTTCGCCGCTCCGGGTGGTTCCGGGCCCATCCCCGCATCCCACCTGCCCGCGCAGAAACCCACTGCCGGGCCGAAGGGGGTCAGCCTGCCGGGGAGGCGGCCACCGGGGGCGGGGCAGGTCCACTTCTTGCCAGGCGCCTACCCAGGGCCGCCCTCCAGCCTGGCTTCGGCACCCAGCTCCGGACCAGCCCCTGCTCGCTCGTCTGTCCACCCATCGGTGGTGGCCTTGGACGGTGCGTGTGCAGCGACTGTCAGGGCTCCGGGCCAGGGGGGTGGGGGTCCTGGCGGTGAGGCCCCAAGGGAGCGTTCAGGAGGCCGTCGGGGTGTGGGGGCGTCGCGGGGAGTCTAGACCGCCCATGGCTTTGCTCTGTGGAGTCACCATGGTCTGAGCTTGTGCCCTGTGTCAATTGCTTATTGATTCATCCACCTCTCCCAGTGGACGTGCAGGCTCCACTCTGCCGCAGACGGGATGCGGGGGTCCGCCAGACTCCCGCACCGTGGCCTCACCCCCAGTGGGGCCTTTGGGAGGTCGCCAGGGTTAGGCGAGGTCGTGAGGGGGGCCCCGGGAGGGGATCGTGCCTGCACAGGAAAGGGAAGGGAGCATGGCTGGAAGGTGGTGGCGCTGGGGGGGCCAGCGGTGAGCGGGCGACACCCCCCACGGCACTGTGGAGGGACGGCTGGGGCGCCCCAGCGTGGGGAGGAATCACCCCTGGGGGCTGCGCAGGGCCTGGTGCTGGGCCGGGTCCCAGCTCTGTCCCTTCGGCCCTGCTCTTCCTTGGTGGAGGTGGTGACCTGGCTCCAGGCTCTGGGCGCAGGCCCCCCGGGCACCTGGGTGTGTGGCCCCGTCACATGAGCTGAGCGGTTCCTCGTTGAGTATCAGTCAGGAAATTGCACAGAGCAGGGAAGTATAAATAACCCTCCCACCCCACCCGCCTCTGGTCCCATGTCCACACCCTGATGTCTGCCGGCCGTGACGCTGGAGTTTGGCAACCTCCCTCACCAGGCCCCGGATAGTGTGTTTTTGTAGCCTACTCTTTTGGGGAGTAAACTGGGAAGTCTTTCTATGTAAATTAATATGCATCATCCATTTTAATGGTTCAGAGTATTTCATTATATGGGTAAGTCATCGTTTAAATTAAAGCCATTTTTCTATCAGTGGACCGTAGGTTGTTCGAGTTTATAGTAATGCTACGGGTAGATTTGGAAACATATAATTTTGGCTCACACGACTATAAACGAGCAGGTGTCGAGGGTCTTTATCACTGGTCAGTGGGAGGGCCGATCGTGAGCTGGCCAGGTAGGTCATCTGGTCAGCGGTGCAGAGACGAATCTGCTCGACAGGCCAAGACCGGCCCCCAGGCGGCCGCACTCCACAGACGCCACCTTCCCGCCGTCAGGAGTGACCTGCGTTCCCCAGTTCGGGCGCTTCACGGGGCTGAGAGCAGCTCAGAGGTGAGCGCGGGCGGAGACGGCCTGCTGGAGAGCTGACAGGACGCCCAGACCCTGTGATGAGCACATCCGCCTCAGCGCTCACGGAGGAACAGGCCCCAGACCTAGCCTCCTGTCCTAAAGGAGTTAGAGCCACGGGACACGTGTGTGACCTGCGGTTTTAACCTCAGGCAGCCCAGGGCAGTGCAGCTGAGTGAGGGCCGAGGGGTCAGCCTGCTGGCCGCACGGCGTGCAGCCTGGAGAGGGTTTCTAGGTGAGTGTCCTGCAGGGGGAAGTTTACAGTTGTATTGTTTACGTCCAGTCAAAAACCACCGGCAGAGAGGCGGGAGGGGCTGGCGCCGCGTGCGCGGCCGCCGGGGCCCTTCTGCTCACATCGACGCGAGTTTCTTTCCCTTTCACGGAATTCCGCTCTCTGTGTTTTCCTTTCTTTTCATTACTTTGGGTACGATTTGCTCTGCTACACCTGATTTCTAAAGGTAGAAGACAAAAATGACCAGTTTCAGAAATTCGACATGGGACGTCACCACTCAGAATCTTGCAGCATTAGGAAGGTAATGTGGGAAATAGAGCAACTTCACGTCAGTAAATTTGAAAACTCACATGGAAGGAACGAAAATGAAGTATCTCAGCTCAGTCAGGAAGCAGTAATCGGGCTCAGCGGCCCTCCGTCCAGTAAAATAAAATTCTGCCCCGCACTCTTCCACAGAAAACGCTCTGGGACCAGGCGGTTTCACTGGCAGGTTCTGCCAGACGTTTCAGCAGAAACAATAACAGTTCTACGGAGGCTTTTCAAGAAGATGGAAGCGTAAGCGACACCTCCTCCCTTACCTGTGACACAAGCACGCGCCTGACGTCAAAGGCAGACAGACGTTCCGTGATGAGAACACGGCTCGAGATCCTCCGTGAAGTAAATGCAGAAATTCAGAGACCTTAACAAATCAAATATGTAAAACTACATATGTGTCATCTGTAAATAAACGTGCACATACGCAAGCACGTAAACAACAGTGTGTCAGAAGTTAATACCATGTCACCAAGGAAAGCAAGCCTGGCTTAACATTCAAAAATTAATAAATGGAATTCACATGTCAACAGATTGAAAAAGAAAAGCCACATGTCACCTCCATAGGTGCCGAGAGAGAACTTGACACACTCCTTAGCAGTTCCTGGTGAGCACGCCCAGCAGACCACGAGCAGAAGGGGACTTCAGCGCAGGAGCACTGCGCGGCCTGCAGCTGAGGCGTGGGCCTCAGGGTGCTGGCGGGCGACAGGATGATGGGTGACGGGCAGCAGGCAGCAGGGGCCCCAGAAGATGTGCAGCCTGAAGGGAAGGGCCCCGAGCAAGGCCGGCAAGAGCCCCGACTGCCGTGCAGACCGTGCGGGGCCCACACAGGCGCTGCTGCGGCTGATGCCCGTGCGTCCGCGGGGTCCGCGGCCTCCGAGGTCGGTTTGAAAGCATCTATTGTGCACTAGCTGTGAACGACTGGGGACTTAGGAAACGAAGTTTGCGACAGCCCTGACCTCCTGGGGCACAAATCGAGTGAAACACGTTAACGTCTGTGCTCTGAAAAGCACGGGACGCCGGGGAAAGAAGCAGGCGACGTGAAGACGCTGAGGGGCAGACGTAACGTGTGCGCGGTGGCCCCTGTCGCGAGCCAGCTCCTGCCACGGCCCCCGGAGCCTCGGTGTGCAAGCGCAGGGAGCCGTGTCTGCTGCCCGCACGGCTGGCCCGGTGCCCCGTCGGGGCGGGCCGAGCTGGGGGTGGGGGTCCTCCTAGGGGGCCCCAACCTA